TGAAGCATCCTGTCTGAATTGGCAACTTTGTCCCTTCTCTGTTCAGTGGTTGAGTCAGCCATATTCATGCTACTGTTCTTGGACCAGGGGTAGACACTTGGTAAAAGCTGAGCTAATCTGGGGATCTTTCTCAAAAATTTAACCTAAGAGATACCAGAACAATGATTATATGGTATTGAGAACCAGAGCTGTAAGTTCATGTTTAGGGTGGAGACCAGGATTGGCACCATGGTAACTTCAAACCTCATATGAAATGCAGCTATGACGGCCTTTCTAAAGGCCTTAGAAAGGAAGATAGTCTGCTGTAGATACAGAAAAAAGCAAAGATGAAAATGACAGCATCACCACATTGGAAGGCAGTTTGTCAGTTTATTAAAAACAATAAACATAGTCTTATCATATGAGACACCAATTACATTCCTTGGTATTTACCCAAAGGAGCTAAAAACTTACGTCTACACAAAACCTGCACAGCAATGCCCATAGTAGCTTTATTCATAATTATCAAAACTTGGAAGCGACTGATACGTCCTTTCAGTAGATGAGTGGAAACTAAACCATAGTACATCCAGACAACAGAATATTATTCAACACTAAAAAGAAATGAGTTACAAAGCCATGAAAAGACATGGAGGAAACCTAAATAAATGCATATTACTAAGTGAAAGAAGCTAATCTGCAAAGGCTACATATTGTATGATTCCAACCATAAGACATTCTGAAAAACTAGGAAGATAGTAAAAAGATCAGTGATTGATGAGGGGATGGAGAAAGAAATGAATGAATAGGCAGAGCACAGAGGACTTTCAGGGCAGTGAAAATACTCTGTGTAATATTAATACTATGATGGTTGATACATGTTATTATGTATTTATCTAAACTCATAAAAATGTACACCACCAAGAGTGAACTTTAATGTAAACTATGGGCTTTAGGTCACATGATGTGACAATGCAGGTTCATTAATTGGAACAAATGTTCCACAAAGGTGGCTATGGCTGTGTGGGGGCGGGGCAGTATATGGGGAATCTCTGTACCTTCCTCTCAATTTTGCTGTGAACCTAAAACTGCTTCAAAAAACTAAAGTCTCTTAAACAACAACAACAACAAAACCCATAGCCACATATAGGAGACGCTGCTTGATGACCAAGACCATCATCCCCCAGTCCCGGATCCCCAAAGTCAGGCTGCACACCTGGCTGCTGGGTTCCATGGGGACCTTCCCTGCTCTTACCTTAAACCCTAATAGTGAAGCCAACTTGACCATAAAACAGTTCCCAGGACAATTGCTCTAAAGCAGGTTTTTCTACTTATTCATCTCAGACTTGAGTTGAGCCTAGTTCCTTTTCTAATACCATTAAAAGAATTACAGTTACTATCAAACTGATGTCTTTTTGTTCTTATCCTATTTGCCTGCATCATATAAAATGACCTACAGCAATTGGGGTAAAGGGTCTTGAATGACATAATGCTAATTCAGTTTCTTTTTTTCTTTGCTTTGTTATTTCTAGTCCATGTTTTTGGAAACCCATTAAAATCCAAGGTACTTTGATACCTACTTTTCTAAAATGTAAGTGGAACAGGTAAACCACCAATTTCAATTGAATTCAATAAGCATTAACCAGGCACTTGTTGTGTGGCTAAGCAGTATGCTATTGCTTAAGGAAGAGACGACTACAAACAAAACCCAATGCCTTAAAATAAGCCTTAATACAATAACATCATTTAGTAGAAAAGTCACACACACATGAAATAAGAAATCAACACAATGTAAGGTGTCGAATTTAAGTTTCTTAGACATTTCAGGTACTTAATAGATTTTTTTTGCAGTATGTGTTATTAGCTGTAATTGGACATCATTGAGTACATTTCAGATCTTTATAAATAAGCCAATTATTCTTTGAGTTTAAATAGTTTAGAATGTGTCACATCAGCTCTGCTGGCCAGTAAACTCCTGTTTTATTTTGCAACCCCCAAAATTAACGTAGGGTTGGAGGCACTTAGTATACCTGATCGAGTATTAGGCCAAGGAAGCTGAACACTCCAGTGTTCCAGAGACCTTTCTTTTGCTCCTAGAGTATTTAAGCTCTTTATTTTTTTGCTATTTTCTCATACAGTGTGAACCAGACAGTACTAATACCAATATGAAAATGTATTTATGAGACTATCAAATATTTTATTCTAACTGACATCTGAATTTATAAAAAGCATTTTAATTGAGTCAGAAAGAAAATAAGCCAAACCAAACAGAACATGCAATTTTTAAAAGATTCAAAAGATCTTACATCTAAAATTATTCATCATTCTTTTATATACAAGTATTTAAAATACATCCCTGACCAGTCAAATTTGAGACTTGAGAATATTCATATATGTATGAATTATATATATTCATATATATATATATAACTGTTTAGTTATAACCTTGAAACAAACTAGCTTTTCAAAACACAGCACATAAAAATACTTTAATGATATGATTTGGCATTATGCTTACAAAAGCCGCTCTGAGGGCAAACATATTTTATTACTACTATCCCAGGATTGCATTCCTTGTAAAACAACCTTATAAGGTCGTTTCAAATCTTTTAAATTTTATTCAAGTCCCCATCTTAATAACACCTTCCCAGCAGGTGAAATGAGCCTGTAATTATTTTACCAATAAAAAAGAAAACTCAACAAGCTTTCCTAATATCTGCTCTTTTATGTCTCCTACAGTCTATTTGGCATCTTAGAGGAGAGAGACTCTTCTCTTGCCAGGCTGATGCTTCTACCTGTTTATCTCATCTCTTCCTCCCACTTTCAGGACCCAGCTATATATCAACCCCACTCTCTTCTGGGGCTTCCGTTTTGCCTCAAAATAGTACTCCACCCATGAAACAAATGAACAAACGAAACTTCATGGAGACTTTACCTTTATACTCCTTTAAACAACTTGCCCTCTCTTTTTCCCCTTCTCATCACATTTCTTAACATAGCAGCTTCTTTTTCTCTCGAAGGCGTACTTGCTTTCACAGGTCCTTCTAACACCATGGCACCTGGAAACCACCAGGCACCCTTGCTGTTCTTGAACTTGGTGACCATGCTCCTACTGACCTGTGGGCTCACTGCTGCTTTGAAAGCCTTGTGCAATGCCACCACTTCTCTGAGAACTGTGACCCCCAGGCACAGATCCCCAAATTGGCTCGATGTCTACCTCTCCAAGGGCTCCTCACTGTTCTCTCTAAGTCCAGTTCTCCTTCTTCCTAATTATTCCCCACAGTCGCTTTCCTAAAGCCCAACTAGGACTGGGTCCCTTCACTGCGCAGAAGACATTTTGCCTCTCCTGTGCCTGCTGATAAGGTAAAACCTCTCCAGCCAGACACTCGGGCTCCTCATAAGATGGCCTCATCCCTCCACTGCCCTCTCTGCACACTGCAATCAAATCAACCTCAACTATTTCCACTCACTGCCCTGGACTTTCCAACCTCCATGTCTGGATAACTTTCCTTGCCCCTGGAGAGGCCAATGAGAATATTCTAGAACTTCAAAGACCAAATCATCACTACTGCTTTGCTAGTCTAGAGCCTTTGTCTGACTCTCACAGGACTTAGTCCTTGTACTGTCTTCCTTTAAAGACTGTAGTTCCTCTGAAGGAGGCACCAGGAAAGCTGATGCAGAAGAATGAACACAGAGTCAGCCAGATGGACTTAAATTTGAATCCTGCTCTTGCTGCCTCTGTGGCCACAGGCAGATTACTTACTGTCTTTAACCACCTGTTTCTCCAAATGGAAGATTAGAGTAACAACACTTCATAGAACTGTGGCAAAAATTATATGTAATAGCAAATCAGCATCTGGCACACAAACATTTTTATGGATGTTTTGTTTTTTTTCCCTGTCAGGTTCAGATTATTTAGGTTGAAGCTACCTGTGGTAACAAAGCATCTTTTTTTTTTTTCCTTTTGGATTGGCCATAGAATATAAATGCAAATGTTTGAAAATTTTTCACATTTATTCTTATTTTTCTGTAGGGAAGCAAAAAAGAAAGAAAACTGTTACACTAATTATTCTTCCTTGAAATGAAGAGGAAGGGAAGGAAGGAAAAAGGAAGAGAGAAAAGGAAAGAGGGACAAGGAGAAAGGTGGGAGAGGAGGAGAGAGAGAGAGAGAGAGAGGGATTTCATGTTTTTACATGAGAGAAGTAGAATGTTATTCAACTGAAAACACAGCAGTGCTTCCAAAACACTATTTCTAAAGCTCAATTCCTTCAGATTTCAAAAATGCTACAAACACAGGTCAGCCTGCAAATCACATAATTGTTCCACATCTCCTCCCCACAACCCCTCCCCAGGCTCTCTGAACTCACCTGCCCATATATGACTGCAGGTGAGCCTAAGGCAACTGTTGGTCTGTTTTCTTAACGTGGTTTAGCTGGGAAGACCAGCTCAGACGACCAGCTTTAGCGGCGACTTGTCAAAGTGCCTCATAACTCTGGGGATGCACTTTGCAGAGTAGGGCTGTGAGCCACATTGGGCCTTTGCTTTCTGCAGAAAAGACTTCTAATAACCACGGTCAAAGGATGTGGGGAGGTTCTGTTTCATCATGCAAGTGAAGTTGGCTAAAATGTGTCATTTGCTACGCCTTCCACAATGAAAAAAGCAACTATACATTGAGGAAAACATCCCAATTCTAAATTCTAAAACATCCCAGTTCTAAATTCTACCTGTTACTGAATTAATTCCCTTTGAGGGTGCTGAAGACATCCCCCAAATGAAACCTGCATTATTTTTAATCTGCCACAGAGCTTGGCTTTGCACCAGTCATCCTAAGAAATTCTAAGAACTTCAAAATGCACTAATCCCCAGTGAACTGGATCTCCGGAATATATTCATTCCAAGTGTTTTGGCAAAGTTGCCCTATGTCACTAGCTTAATTGGTGGCAGGTTATTTTCCAGTTGTCAAATAATCTTTTCCTATTTAAGAGTCAGAAATAAAAACATTCACTCATAAAGAAATTGAATAATTTGGGACATGAACAACGTAAGTATTTATTTGAAGAACATTTTCCATTTAAGTAAAATGGCAAATCAGCTATAGTAGCTTCTTACTACTAATTCTAATTTGCACTCACAGTTGCTTTTATTCATCATATTCAAAGGTATTGCTACAGAAAACTATTTCACAAAGTATTTAGAAAAAAATATATACAGTCTCTCTAATAGAAAGTTAATTAAAACAAAGGTAGGCAATATGAAGCTAAGATACGAAACACATTGACATTTATAAACTCAAATAAATAAATATATACAAAAGACACTATGCCAACAATAGACAAAGGAAATCTTTACAATGCAAATAAATGGTGACAAGAATAGAAAATATCTCAGGATCCTAGACTACAATTCTAATACAATGTAGTGTAAAAAGAGGAAAGGAAAAGGGAAAAAATAAAATAAAAACAGAAATAGAGTCTGAATTGACATTCTCAATGACAGGCTAACCAAACTTTTGGCTCCCCACTAAATTCCTGCCCCTATGCCCAGAGGGGCCTAACTGAAGGTGAGAACTGCATGCTCAGAGCTGAAGGGAGAATTTGGCTCAGTCTTTTAATTCCATTTGCAAATGTTTCTATTCAGCAGTTTCTTCATTCTTCCTCACCTTTTATTAAATATTTCTAAAATGGAGCTGACACTGTTGTCAAACATAGGGAAAAAAGGTTTTTCTAGATCTGGATGAATATGAGTAGAAATTAAAAGCAAAGCCATTTTTAAAGCTCTATCTTAATTACTATTAACTAAAATAACCACTTTGGGCAGAAATCTCATAGTAGAACGCTAATTAAAATCTACCATGAATATCTAAGGTTTGGGGGAGAAAGTATATGAATATTCAGTGACTATTTAAGATTAACTTTCATCTATATGTAACCTCTGCCAAAATAAGCAGCCTGTTAATATATATGCCTGTTGAAAATGATTTTGGCTCTACGTAGTGAATCTCAGTGACCTTAAGATTCACTATTCCTTTCTACTAAATACAACCCTCCCCTGTGAAAGGCAGGTTGGGCAGTGTTCATGTCTCCCAGGATGGTGTTCCAAGCTGCTGCAAAATGGAATGGTAATAAAAATCCACTACCTCATTATCTCATCATCTGCTCCAACCAGGCAAATAGCTTCATGATTGAAGCTCAGCAAAAGGTGAGAGGCCCCTTGGGTGGCTGCATAGCCTGAAATCCCTCCCATGTCAAGTCTCATAGCCTGAGAACTATCTACATTTTATGCAGAGGGAAAGGCCTCCAGGTGCTAGCTTCTGGCCTCTGCCAATTTTCTTTTCACTTACGCTGCCTACCAGAACCTGATACTTCCCAGATAACCCAGAGCAAATTGTAAAAGCATAGCATGCGGTGAGACCAGTTTCTAAGAAAATCCATTGGACTCCATCATCTAAGGACAATTAAAGCATAGTCTTCTACACATTCACAAGCAAGCAGGCATTACTCAGGACAGTCTGAGAGTTAGGTAAGCTGCTTAATTTTATGCATGGCTTGTATACAGCAGCCTAATCCATAAATAATACACCATCTACCTTGCCAGATCTCTGCAAGCTCTTATATACTATAATCAGAGGACTTACAAATAATTTTTAGACTAGCAACTGTTAACCCACACGTTTATAAATTGTATTGATTATTATGAATCATTCATATGCCTCACTTTATAGTCTTTGGATAATGGGAAGTAAGAAGCTTTCCTTTGAGTGATTGGAAATGTCTTGAAGTCTCTAGAGCAAGGACAGGACCATGTTGTCTTAATAGTGCATCTCCTAAAAGGGAACTTGTACTGCTCACAGCTTGCCTAATGGAAATTCTCCTTCCTGCCCCGAGCCTGTGGCCTCAGTATTCATAAGCAAACAGATTAATTCCTAAACAACTGCTAGGAGGCCCACACTGAAGGTACATCTACACTAAACTTGACTCAAATGTATGGGATTAAATTATACTAATGATGCTGCTTTAGCCTTGTGATTTGAATACAGTAAGTAAAATATTAGAAATTGACATAGCCTCACATTAACCAGGTCAAAATTTGGGAAAACTTTCTTTCATAAGCATGTTATGGTTCTGAAGGTTAAACATTTTGATATAAAAGAAATAAAAAACCTTTTTTAAACTTTGGATCAAACATTAAACATTCTATCTATGGTTGAAATTTCATCAAAAATGAGAAAGTGCTACTGCACTCATAGAAAATAGCCCTGGGATGAGACTTGGGGGCATCCAAAATAGTTATAAATATTAGCAGGCTTTTTATTGTTAAGAAAGATGATGTAGAAAATGGGCACATCCAGAACTATTAGGTGGCGTCTAAATGGGCTCTAAACTAAGGTTTGTCCTTAGCTTTGCACCCCGCCCCTGTTAATTTTGATGTCTCCCCCCGAGTTCTGATTAGTCTGATTTAATTATATATTTAAAAAATCATGTCTCCTGTGGCCACTGAGTCATACTGCTCTCAGCACTGAAGTTTTAGTGATGATGGAAACTCCCCCAGGGAAGAAATATACTGAAAAGATAAATTCTGAATTTCACAAAAGCCTTCTTAACAAAATACATTCCTCATATATATGCAGTTACCTAGGTAATAGCACATTTACATCTGCTAGTTGTAGTTTTCACAGCTTGCTGATCTTCATGTTTCTGTAGACTGATTCCTTTTTCTTACATTAAAGACATTAAAACTTTGTGCTGTGGCTGAAGGTGTCTGACATAATAATATTTTTATAGAAGTTATCGGAATGAGCGTTGCAGTAACCCTTAACCTTATCAATGACCTGATGGACAGGGATGATTGATGTTTGTTCTCCATCAGCATGGGTCAGTTTTGACAAGGACTTGTCCATAGAAGTGCTGTCTGCAAGAAACGATACAAGAAATTAGGCTGCAAGATGAGCTGGAGACATGCCCAAGGACCACCCCACTGTACACTCTGTTTTGCCTATTAACCAAGTACACAAAGGATGTGGAGCTTGCTCTAGCTCTTTCTTAGATTGGGTAATAGGCAGCACTAAAATTTCATGTTTATATATATATAGTCACTGAATGTCAATTTGCCTTCTAGCAATTTGTATTATGTTTTTTTTAAATAAGAAATATTCTTGTAAGTGGCGTTTTTCAAAAAGCCAATGAATAAAATAATCAGAAAACCACTTTAAAATATATGTGCACCAAATGCTCAGAAGAAGTACCAGATTATGTAATAAAGGAATTGAAATGTGCTGCAATATTTAGGGAAGAACTGATATTTGAGATATGTTTTCCAAATAATGTAGGGAGGGGAAAATGGGTTGGGGCACATGATTGGCTATTAGTTGAGTAGAGGGGATTCATTACAGTATCCTCTCTACTTTTCATATATGTTTGACATTTTTGATAATGAAATTTTTTATAAAACTAAAGGATTTTAGAGAATTAAATTAAATGAAAATAAACATAAAAGGTACTTTGAACACAATTTTCCTGTGGGTTTTAGCTTGTTAAATGATTAGAATACAGCATAAAGGCATCCTTTATGATTTTTTCTTTTAATTATAGAAATCAAAATTCTCTTTATAAGAAATATCTTAATAGAAAATTATTTGTTTTTATTAATTATGCTAGAGTTTCAGAATGATGTTATTGCTGATAGCAGTAATATCAGAGCAATTAACAGTAATAAAGGACTGCTAAACAAATTTCTGTTCTGAATTTTTCAATATCATATATTTAAATATTATTTTCCTAGACCTAAAAACTTTCTAAAATTGGCTCAGATAGTGCTTAAGCTCTATTATCTATAAACACATATGTGGTCTTCATGTATCTATGAATACCTAGTAAGTACCTCCCTTTCCCAAATAGACTTTGGATAAAAATGCTACCCTCAAATTAACAAAATGATAGAGATTTTATACTAAGAAGGAAGAAAATATGAACAACAAAGTATTCAGTTCCCTACAGTAGTATTTTCTCTATGCACTGTGGAAGAGGCAAAAACTCTATCCTGAAAAACTGCTTTTAGAAATCATGGCTCTGAAATTGGAATGTTCACTTCAGGCTTTCTGTGTTTGAATAGGGTGGACCCAGCACGTGACATAAGATACAAAATCCATCGATAATCGGTAAAAGCCATCATCATGCTGTTGTCTTTAGAAACTGTTCAAATTACTCAACTGTTGTATTATGTTGGAGCAGACACTAAATAAAATGAATGCTGAAATAGAAATGGCACTCTCATCCCACACTAAAGGACACGGGAAAGAAGAATGGGTGGCTCATGGAGAGAATGGGCAGACTGAAGCATGGTAGAATGACCCCCACCCCATAACCCCACCCCATATGGCTCTTAGCAAGCTGACTGATTCTCTGCTTCCTTTTAGTCCATATATTCACTAGCCATTGGTTTTCTTGTGGGGATTTTTCTATTGACATAAATATCAATAGCAAATAAGTTGTACTTTATATTTTTAGAAGACCACACATTCTCAGAGAAATGTCAAGGATATATATTCACCCTGCTTCTCTGGTAATTCCCAGGGGCATGAACTTTCAGAGATTTCAATCAGCTCTATTCCAAAGATGTGATCTAATCTGATGGGTCTTCACAGTGTAATAAACTAAAATTCTGAACGAGGGTTGTATTTTAATATATATTGCCATTCCCAGTCTTCTCATTAGATATTACGTTATGGGTAATATAGATTTTGATTATAGCTGCAAGTCTGAAAACCAGGGGCTAGGGAAATGAACTATTTATTATCTGACCTATGCTGAAATTTCAAGCAGATAGAAATCTTCACAAAGCAGGCTTGGAATTGACAACTTCACTTATATGACTTCTATGAATGTACCATGACATATCCAGTAATCCATAAGAGTAGTGGGAAAGTAAAGAATTTCATGTCCCCTCTATAATAAATCTCTCTCGAGTACTGCTTTTTGTCATTACTTTACATGATATGTGACCCACTCACTCCAGACCATGGTACATTTCCTAGAAGGAGCAGCTTGCAGACACCCCATGCAGAGAAGAAACAGCACAGCACACTATCATTCCGAATTTCAGAAATTTCAGCTCAATGCAAGAATGTCATTGTGCTAGTGGAAAAGTATTGCAAAGAGCAAGCCATTTTGCTGGTGCAGCAAGAATCTTAGCTTAATCCATGCACATATTCTCTTATTACCTTGCAAAAAAAAAGTCATGCATTCAAAAAAGCAATAAAAGTTTACCTGAATGATCCACTTTTGTTGAAGGAATGCTCTTAGGAGACATTATCTATACCATAAACATATGAATGTCTAGATCAATTCCAAGAAATAAACCAACTAGATATTCATGATGATATACAGTGACTTTCTGCATACTCTGAGTGATCCCCTGTATATCAGTTGTCCCACTGAGAACTCACTGAGTAGACAAGGGCTATTTGAAGTCAGTTGATTAGAAACCAGAATTTATTATGCCATAGAAGTAATGCCATACAACTAAATTCTCTTGTTAGTTGACAAGAACTCATTTAGTTCCAAGGGGTTTTTTTGTTGTTGTTGTTAAGGGAAACAAAAATAGTAATGCATGCCTTAAAAAACAAAAAACAAAACAAAAAACACACAACATTTTAAAATAGTAAAGTCTGCCTTTGGTACCTCCATTTCTGTACAGTCTCTTTTATCTCTCAGTTCCCCCCAGGATCCTACAGCCCTTTATTTCCTTAATACTTCCCAAGTGCTCCACACATCCTAATTTATCTACCTTGTTTTCTTCTTTCCCCATTTAAGAGTGGCATTTCTTCAGGTTAGCTATTCTCAGCTGTGTTGAGAGGAAAGTAATTTAATTGGTCCAATACCTATTCATTCACAACTGACTGATAATGCATTAATTATTTGCATTTAAGAAGGGAAGGTAAAGTGAGTAATTTTAAGTTTGGCTAAATAAAGTGAAAAAATAATTCATTATCAGTAAAAGATATTTTGTGCCAGGGAACTACCAATTAGGTAGACTACTCTAAGACTATACGACGTCATCAATTTCCTTACACAGGAATTCTCCAGCTGGGGTGCACAGATCATTTAATTTTAGGCAAAATTGTGTAGATGACTCAAAGTCTGCACCTCATTCTGAATAGCATCCACAGCTTTCATTCAATTCCCCCTGAAAATATCCTTGAGTCCAAGAAGCTTTAAGAACTGCTGTCCTAAATTGCTCTGAATTCTTAGATCTCTTTAATTAATTTTAGAATTAACAAACTCTCTAAACACTCTAACTTTTTTCCACAGTACTGTCATGAATCCCAGGCAGTGGCCACTCCAGTGGGGCAAGCAGGGACGTGTGTAAGGATTGAAATGTACACAAGAGTCATTTGTAATTCAAGTGTTTGCAATATGAACAATTACAGACACATCACACACCTTACTGCCTATTTGCAAAAAGCTAAGTATTAATCTCCTGTCATTCACCTCTGCTCATGTTTAATAGCTAAAAAAAGTAAAAAATTATTTCCATTATCCTTTTAGAATCATCTTTAATTAGGAAAGTGCTGTGTGCTAAGTGTGAAAGCTGTCTGCCAAGGGTTTAATTAGTATTTAAAAGTAGCAATTCTATTATTTCCCTTTGAAATTATCAAAAGGTTACACCTTTTTCACATCACTCCCTGATTATCAAGTACTGCAAAAAATATATATATTTTTGAGACAAGTTCTTCGCTATGTTGCTTAAGCTGGAGTGTCGTGGCTATTACATGATCATATCTCACTCAGCCTTCAACTCTTGGCCTCAAGGGTTTCTCCCACCTCGGCCTCCCAGGTAGCTGGAACTACAGGCACACACCACTGCTTAAAATATTCTTTATTTCCATGTTGTCATCAGGATTGTTCATATACATGCTCAATGACAGAATGTGTAGTCATTGTAAATATCATGAAAATACAGGATATGACCAAAGCCCTGTATTGCTTTCCAAATATTATGTTTTATATTCTTTCATATTTAATCAGTGATTTAAATCTTTCATATTTACAGAACAGGTGCCAATAACACTTCCAATAGTTAAAGAATTAAGTTTCAAATAAAATATACATCCTAGATGATATTTCTTCTTGTTCCCATGACAACTTGTCAAGTAAATTTCATACTATACTAAAATAATCTGCAATTCAATTTTCATATTTTTAAAATAAAAAGATATAGCTATTTAAACAAAATACCATAATTTTTAAATAAAACTAAATTTTGAATCACTTCATTGACATTCAGAGTTGGTGATATTACAGTTATGTAGATATAGTTTGGGTTGTATGATTTTAAAAAGGACAAAGTATTTATAAAGTGTTGGATAAGGTCTTCAAACAGATTTTTATTTTCATAAATCTAAAATAAGCACTCTATCAGGCACTGTGTTCTGTCACTCTTCATGATAGGGAAATTTTTGCAATGAAAATGCAATGAGAACTCTACTTGAGGACATCTTTATCATGACCAGAGTGACTCACCAGTGTGGCTATTCCTTTTGAAATAGGTGGTAGAGCTGGATTTAGATTTGGATGTAAGATAGGTTGAGTTGGAACCAATGGAGCTTGAAGACAAAGATTTTCCTAGATTATCAGAACTTTTCTTGATGATATTGGTAGCTGTTTTACTCCAATCTGAAAGAAATGACATCATTCTATCAATCTGCTTTATGGGAAATATGTTGTGCCCTGAAAAATCATCCTTGCATTATTTCATTGATCTGGGGCATTTGATTTTCTGATATGCCCAGAGAAGAGGCAGACATGTAAACAATAATAAACTGAAGACAAAGAAAACTTTCTTACTTTGACTTTGTATTAATATATATACTGCTTAAAATCCCACTTCAGTATCCTAAGGGTGAGAAGTAACCACTGATGATAAGAAAGAAATAAGAGAAAAAGAAAAAGTAATATTTCTCTTTGGATATTTTTTACAGTTAGAAAAATCTCTTTGCATCATAACGTAATTAAGGATCTCAAAAACATAGAAAGATGAGTCTGGAATAGTGGAACCTCTGGATATCCATGTCGTTAAGTTAGATACTAAATTTTGGGCAACTCATTTAATCTGCTTGAATTCATCACTTTTCCTCTGCAGAATAGAAGGGATGGGTCCAAAGTTCTCAGATCTCTTCTAGGCCTAATATTCTAAGATTTCAACTAAGGTTCTCTTCATATGCTTCACTTTTATAACTTGCTACAATTAGGGTTTGGTTGCTCTCAAAATAGAAGACTGAATGACAAACATTTCCAACTACTTTTAGACATAAAGCCCCATCAACAACATGCCCCTTTACCTGAGTTGTCTGCTAACCGGAATCTACCACAGCAGAGATGCCGCCTCCATTGTTTCTGAACATTCTCCTTCATAGCACAGTGGAAAATAAATATAAATAAGCCTGTGATAAAAGAAAATATAAATATTTAAGCCAGTTGGTGCATTTTTAAAGATACATCTTACAAAATACATGAATTCATTTTAATTTAAAATGTTTTACATCTAAGTCACTTGAGCTTTGGAAGAGACAAAGATCTTAAGGAAAGGAATCTTGCAGTATGTAGTCAGAATTTTAATCTGTTAGAACACAAAGCCTTAGATAAAGCTAGAATAACTACATGGATCGGATCCTGTCTTTGCTTGCTCTTTTCAGCATTCGTTATGACTTAACCTAAAAACCAAGCTGAAAAAAAACAACATTCATTCAAGAGGTATTTAATATTTCCCTTATTTGTCTTAAAATTATACTTAAAAATTTCCATAAATTTAGAAAAAGAGAGAATTGGAAACACCCATAAGTTCATCATGCTTCAATTTGTGTATGCTGAGCTATTTTACATATGTATGTTATACTTATATTCCCAGTATATTAGGTTGGGTCATAGAAAAGTGGTATTTTTGCAGGTTAAACATGGCCTCAAGTCAGCAAAGTCACCTGGCTTACTTAAGTTTCTCAACATTTTAACACAGAAATGTTACCATAATGGGAAATAGTCTTCATATTTATAGCCACTCCTTGTGCCTATCAAAAACTGTGTCACTTGTGCTTTGGAAGCCAATTACTTTTAATTTTTTAGGGAATTTGCTCCTGCATTTTAACCCCCTCCTCATGGCCTCATCCTGTATCTTCTGCTTCTCTATCTCCATTATTCACATTACCTTATAAGCATATTCTAATAACTCTTTAAAAAACAAAAATTCCTTCCTTAACCTCCAATCTTCTTCCAGTTTCAACTTCTTCATTTCCTTTCACAATAAAAACACTTTGAAATGGTTAACTTTAGCTGTCTCCACTTTTTCTCATATTTTCCCTTCTCAGCCCACTCCAAATTAGGCTGCTATCCACAACCATGACTCACCGTGACTGCTCCTGTGAGAATCACAGTGACTCCCATATGGCTGGGTTGTCACTGCTATTTTATTAGACCTCTCAGCAACATTCTACACAATCAACATTTCCTCATTCCTGATGCCATTTTTCCCCAATTCTAATTTCCTAGGGATTCCTTCTTGGCTTCTTGATCTCCTAAGTAGATTCTTCCGTATACTTTTTTTTTTTTGAGACAGGGCCTCACTCTGTCACCTAAGCTAGAATGCGGTGGCATGATAATAGCTCTGTGCAACCTCGAACTCCTAAGCCCAAATGATCCTCCCACCTTGGTCTCCCCCAAAGTGCTGGGATGTGAGCCACCACACCTGGCCTGCTTCTTTAAAGGTTGACATATCTGTCACTCAGTCCCAGGTTTCCATCTCTTTTATGGCTACACTGTCCCAGTAGGTAATATTACTCCTGAAATATAAGTTTCATATACTGATATTTTGTGTTTGGTCTTGTTCCCTCCTCTCCCCAACATCACCAGGATTCCAACCCATATTGCCTACAGGACACCTTCACTTGGCTGTATCTCCACATAGCAGCATCTCACACCCCAGATGTTCTGAACACAGGTCCTCCTCATCAGGACCCTCAAGCCACACTCACCTTTCTTCTGTTTCACAATATATCAAGCTCACTGCTACCCAATACCATGCTGAACGCTCTTCTTCTACATCTTCTCATAACAGGTTCCTACCTATCGCTCAGGTCTCAGACCAACTGTTAACTCCTCAGAGAGGCCATATTCAACCCTTAAGTTGTTGTTTTGTTTTTTTTTTAAATTTTAGCCTCTACTCACTCCCTTTCACATATTTTTTTCATAGCACTCATCAGTGCCTGATATTCTTGTATTACTCATTTATTTGCCTGAGTGTCTCTTCCTAGCACATAAGATCCAAGAGAACAGGTATATTTGTCTATTCAGTGCTACATTGGTAATCCCAGAAACGATGCTAGAAGTTACATAGGAATTTTTTGATGAACGTTTATTGACTGAATGAATGGTAACCATGATCAATCTCCTATTAATTGAATGCTTGCATGTACACTCTAATGTGATCAATATGTTTGAGATAGGAGGTTAAAAACAGGTGTGAGTGGTACATAAATTAATGGACGAAAGGAATACAATGAAAATACATTTAAGGTGAAAGTTTCTGAAAAGCATGCAGATAAGTTAGGAACTTCTCTAGTAATATACTATCCTAAGGAGTATATCCACTTAAGAGAGGGCGTTTTAGGGGATCTAGGGCTTGCATAATTGAGTAAGTTTAATAAGCAAATCCACTTTATACCACCAGTAATGTGAATAAGCAAAAGTATATAAATAACTTGAATTGGTTACTAGATCTTTTTAAGTTTTGAGGAGGTGGTAGCAGTTACACAGAAGAGTGGAGGGAAGGAAGCCTGAGGTGAGGTCGCTAGATGTTATGGATGAAGGAGACGACAGTTCCAGAGGAGGAAGCCCATTGCTTTAGGTTTACTCAATTTTCCTTTAACAAGTCAGAATTTCTAGAATTTGTTCTGGGAGGTATTTTTATCACACAGCTAAAAATATAGGTAACTGTGTATTCTTAAGCAATTTTTTTTAACAGAATCATGTATTAGACCTGGAAAAGATTATAAACCTCAATTAAGGACTTTTGTTCTTGGGCAATAATCCAGGTATTACTCACTATAGGGCCTCACATTGAGCAAATGATTTTCTTTTAGTTGGGGGTAGAAGGAAAATTTGCTAGATGTTGCTTTCCTTAATACTCTATTATTCTTCTGTAACACCCAGTAGTTTTTATACATGTCATATACACTGGAAGAAAAATTTCAAAGGTTGTGTCCGGTGTTTCAAGGACACTGGAAGAGAGCTAGGTCACATATTCACTTTTTCAGCCTTCTTGGGTGCTAAAATATGAATTATTTTGAGGATCAGCTGTTGACCACAGAGAGGATGAGGTTAAAGATAAAACTGACTTAATAAAACAATTTTTTAGATTGTATAGTGCTACCCTGAATAATTATCTAACATTAGATGATACTGCCTATTTTAAGCAACCACATTTACCTATAAATATATAAGGACCTAATAAGTTTAAGAGACACTGGTACATACATAAATTGGATTTAAAATCTGATACATCTCCTCTAAAATTAAGTGATAGAGTAAAAGTCATGTAAATGCTCCATCTTCTACTATGAACTGTGATACTATGGGGACAAAAATCAGATAATAAGCTTAAGAACTTAGAATTCTTAGAAATGAATATGTTTTAAATTCTCAGGTATTATATTTATAATAGAAATGTGGTAAATTTAGCTTTGAGCTACATTTCCATTTTGAATCAGAACAGGATTCTCATAATAGGTTCTTTTATTATACTATTTGAATAACTTGCCCTTTTCCCGTGAATTTAAGTCAGTCTGGCAATAAACATTATACCCAAATTCCTTCAGGACAAAATATCTCTTTTAAAAAGAGTTCAGCCGTGGGAAATGAGGTAGACATCTCCATTTGGACGGCACGCATAAGGAGTATGGAAAGAAATTCTAAACACTTCAGGAAGGAGTAGTAGAAAATGTAGCAAAAGAGCCAAGGGCACTTGGAGGCTAACATGGGAAGACAGAGGGCTACTCCCTCCTCAATTTTGAGGGCAGCCTCCCCCCCCCCAGCCATCTTCTTACAGATCTTGGTGCTAGAAGCATAACTGAAATCATAAAACTTTAATAGAATTCTACGTTAACATCCAAGGAAGTAAGTTTGATTTCCCATAACAGTCTCTGCTTTCTTTCTACCAGGTTTTTTCCTTTTGCAAATCTTCATACCACCAGGGAGGAATATACTCTTGTAGCTTTTTGGAAAAAGAGGTAAGCTGTGACCTGACCTCAGACCATGACAATCAGGCTCTACTCTTTAAGAGTCTAGCTTTAGTTAACCAAGGAGTTGGCAACATTGCCTGTAAAAGGTGGACGCTAAAATGGTCCAAAAGACTGAATTCAGAGGTAAAGCTTTTACTTCATCCCGACAGGCTAGTGCTAGTTTCCTGAAATCTTTCTATCTCACAAAAGAGAGTTCACAATAGTCCTTTCTTGGTGAATTTTGGCCTGGAAAACTACCACTCCGATGAATACAAACCGGAGTTCCTTAGCAACAGTTTCTTCGGCTTGATAACTGCCTGGATTCTTTATTTTACCTATGTGAATCCATTTCATGCCAGGACAGCAACAAAAACAAAAAACTTACCACACTCTAGACGAGCAGATTCCTAACCAGCCACCCACCCTCTCCTCAGCCAGACCGCCCTTCACAGCCATCTTTCACTGGCCAGAAGTATACGCTCATGTTTTTAAAAATTTACATGTGAATTCAAGAGGTTCTCATTCTCAGTAAATTTTACAATTTTCTCATTCAAAATAAATGACATTTTTAATGGTGATGAAGGAAGAATGTTGCAAGTATGTGGAAAAGTGGGCCTGCCTACAGGTGTTGTTAGGGTGGAATGTAATGAACTTCACCTTGACAAATTCTCCTCGAGAAAGACTCTGGGCCAACACTCATTCAGCAAACACAGTAAAGAAAGATGGTAGAGAGATAGCTTAGAAGATGCCCTAAAATGGAGTGAGAAGCATTTTGAAAAATCTCATCAAGTAGTGGAATCGATGTTTGATAGCTAATCCTTTCATCTACCTCAGAACACATTCAAGTAGCATGTCTGGAAAAAAAAATAATTAAACCTACTTCTAAGAATTTTCATTATATTCACTGTGGATTGTGAATGTATCTTGATCTTTGTAAGAGCTATTTAACTATTTAGGAAAAAAAAAAAGATATACTTAGATATTTTGGCTAGAAATTTGGTCCCCACATGGAACTCATTCCTTTGGCTTGAGTCATGCAGTGATATGTAGCTTTCCAGAGCAAATGTAAAATGAGTAGCCAAAGGGATGTTCTTAGATCTTTAGCCTGATTATCGAAAGTTAAAAAAAAATTTCAGCTGGGCCTGGTGGCTCACACCTGTAATTCTAGCACTGTG